CAATGATGAAACGATCTTCAAGATGATTGAATGTTAATCCTATTATACTGGATCTTTAAGATAAAGGTCTAAAGGTCTATATTTTCGAATGAAGAAACTTTTTCTTGCTGGACTTTATTGCTGTAACTTAACCGTGTTACTTTCTACCGGGTGTCGGACGCTGTCGGTTAGATCACAACACTAGAGTCAGAGCACTATAATTGTTCTTCACGCACACAGTAACTGAAATTTAAAACCTTTAAAAGAAAAGGCTCAATAAACTATTGCATAGATAGATAATGTATAATACACTGTTCATAAATATGTATTTCCTTTGTGCTTTGAACTTTTCAATACGGACTCACTGCGCTGTAACTTCATGTGGCTTCAAGCACATCATTCTCCGCTCGGGATGCACATAAGTGCTTTGTGCTGCACCGTATTGGAGCCGTAATATCATAATGCAGTGACGTAATGACAGATTATTAATTGCCTTTCAATTATATGTTGCTGCGTCATTAAACATCTGTCCTATGCATTTCAAACATTTATAGCAGCCATGGCTATATTTTTTTTTAATGATTTTTGTTATCTTGTTTTTCATGAATGTATTTTTCAAAAATAAGAGCAATGTGTATTATCTATTATTAATATGGTTTATAATAGCATTTTTGTCATAGATTATGACAAAGTAATCATATGATCCACCAGCGAGGAACCAGCAGAACAGAGTGAACATTCTTTCTGTTTAGTTCAATCCTACTTAATAGGAATTTATTTAAAATGCTCGCTCTACTCCACACCATTAATGTCTTGTGCGGACATCCGTATTTTGACTTTCGGTTTTAAGTAAGCGATTTAAAAGCTCCCAAGTCCCAGCGGAGTCACACGTTGATTAACCGGTGGGAATATACACAATAGGCCTACCTGATATTGAACACAAGAGGGCAGTATAGCACTACGTATGACTCAGATTATTATTTTTTTATGAATTTTACAACAATTCTGGCTGTTTTTGAACGTAAACACAATTCTTAAATGAAAAAAAAGGAAAAATTGGGGAAGTTATAATATTTGTATAATTTAATTTAGAAACAAATGATGTATAATTACATTTTTAGAAGATATGAGGCTTTTAGTGTTTACTTTTTTGACATTACTTTAATCTTTTGCCATAGTTGCACATGTCTACTGGCTAATAAATGTGATGTATCTGTTGAGTTTCAAGCAATTTCAAGCATGCTAAGAGTCCCAAAAGCATCAAAAAAGAATGTTAAAGTTTGATTCGTTGCCACGGCAACAGTATCAAAGATATCAAAAATTCATTCACAGGTCTACATCTGCCGTGTATTTACATTATACAGATGAAGTTTGAAGCAAATCGGTTAAAAATAAGAGAGTGGTTTCAAAGCATTTTGAAAGTGACACACTTCCTGCTGCCAGTTGGTGGCGCTATAATTTGACTCACAATAGTCACATCCATGTGATCGGTCTCTTACAGCGAAAACACTGCTGAAGTTTCATCAAGATCAGTTAATGTATGCTGAAGTTATAACACACATCCTGTTTCATGTTTCTCGCCATAATTTCGTTTCCTCGCCACGGCCAAACCGTTCGAGATATAAAAAATCCCTTGGCACCTTTTCATCCTTAATGTCTTGACTTCACGCTGATCGAGTTTTGTCGAATTTGGTTCAGTGCTCTAGGAGCAATACTTTAAATTCCATTGCATGTGTTTTAAACACAACCCTAAATAGCCGTCTTCCTGTTGGGCTGGGGTAAAAAGTAAGAGTGTGAAGTAGGCTATATATGAAACGATGAGATCTATATGTGTACCAAGTTTCATATTATTACATGCAAGTGTGTTTGATTTATGGACCAAATTTTCAGACCAAGTTTATTGACCAAGTTAATCTGATTAATAAACTAATTATATAAAACTATTGTCAATGCACTACAATTAAACTAGTTATATGTCTTTACTTATAAAAAATAAAAATAAAAACTTATTTAAAAAATACCAGGCTTGAGAAATGTATTTTCTTTATGCAGGTCATACACACAGCAGTGAAATGGTTAAGCCCCCTCCCCCTGCACACTCACACACACACAGACAGCCACCAGCCAGCAAAGACACAGAGACCATGTAGGCTCAGAGTGACCATATTCAAACAAAAATATCTGAGTTTCTGTGGGTCCTAGCTAATAAGTGTAAATTAGAAAGTTGTCCGGCTCGAGGAGTACAATATACATACCAATTTTTGTAACTCTAGTTAAAACTAACAACCCCACTTTTGTCAAAAGGTGGCGCTACTGAGCCCTCACCACGCCCGTTTCTGAAACTTTGCACATGTCTACTGGCTAATAAATGTGATGTGTCTGTCGAGTTTCATGCATTTTGAAGCATGCTAAGGGTCTCAAAAGCATCCTAAAAGCATCCTAAAAGAAGGGTAAAGTTTGATGCGTCGCCACGGCAACAGTTTCAAAGATATCAAGAATCCATTCACAGGTCTACATCTGCCGTATGTTTACATTATACATATGAAGTTTGAAGCAAATCGGGTAAAAATAAAAGGGTGATATCAAAGCATTTTGAAAGTGACACACTTCCTGCTGCCAGTTGGTGGCGCTATAACTTTGACTCACAATAGTCACATCCATGTGATCGTCCTCTTACAGCGAACACACTGCTGAAGTTTCATCAAGATCAGTTAATGTATGCTGAAGTTATAACACACTTCCTGTTTCACGTTTCTCGCCATGATTTCGTTTCCTCGCCACGGACAAACCGTTCGAGATATAAAAAATCCCCTCGCAAACTTTCATCCTCAATGTCTTGACTTCACGCTGACCGAGTTTCGTCGAATGTGGATCAAAGCTCTAGGAGGAGTATTTGACATTCCATTGCGAGCGTTTTACAAACAAACCTCAATAGCCGACTTCCTGTTGGGCTGGGGTAAAAAGTAAGAGCGCGAGGTATAGATGAAACGATGAGATCAACATGTGTACCGAGTTTCATATTATTACATACAAGCGTGTTTGAGTTATGGACCAAGTGTTCGGACCCCGTTCCAGGGGGCGCTGACGAGCCGCCCTGCCACGCCCGGGTACCATCTTCAGCCCGGCTCTGATGGCCGCGGGTTCTGACCCGTGTGCAAAGTTTCAAGAGTTTTCGAGCATGTTAAGGGCCCCAAAAGTGCCCAAAAGGTAGCAGAAAAAATAAAAGAATAAGAATAAATATAGCTGCGAGCAGCGATTGCGGGCCCAAGCCGGTGGCACCGCAACCCCGATGCCTTTAGTTACCCAAAGGCACCCGGGATGGTGGTACCGCCGGCTTTGGCCCTTTATCGCTGCTCACAGCTATATTTATACACACACACATATTATATATATATATAATATATATATATATATATATATATATATATATATATAACGGTGGCACCGCACCTTGGTGCGTTTAGGTTATTCTGTACGACGTGCAAAACGTAACCCCCGCTTTGACTGTCGAAAAGAAGTGTATTTTAGAGCTTGCATCAATGCGGACTCGATGCGCTGTGTGCTGTAACTCCATGTGGCTTTAAAGCGCATCATTCTCCACTGGGATGCGCATAAGCGCTTTGTGCCACACTGTACTGAGCCTTTCATATCATAATACAGTGACGCAATGACAGATTGTTAATTGCCTTTCTTGTTCTGTTCTATCTATTATATGTTGATAATAGATAGGACAGAGCACTAAAAACCTCAAACAAATCACTAAAAGCTGTTTGCTGTGTAGTCTGAGAATGAGCTGTTTGATTTGCACCCTCTTCCTCTTCACTGTCCTCCGTAAAAACCAGCTATTCAGGTCCATGTTGTTCTAGAAATTTAAAACATATTGTCTCAATTTTATAGCAGCCATGGCTATATCTAAAATAATTTATCTTTTTGATTTTTGTTATCTTGTTTTTCATGAATGTATTTTACAACAATACAAAGAGCAATGTGTATTTACCACTAATATAGTTTGTAATGGCTTTTTTGTCATAGATTATAATCATATATTTTTTGGATTTGTTATTTATCTTTATAATGAAGTTGTCTGTATTAAGTAGATTGTGCTTAACACACACAAGAGTGATTTATTAGTTCAACACATAGTTATAGAAATTCTACTTTAGCTAAAAAAAACTCTGCACTTTATACACACACACACACACATACATAAATACATGTAAATAAAAATACAAAAAAGAAACATCAAATGTGTTTTTTAGTCAGAGTATTATTTTATACAGAAACAAATATTTGTAATT